ACTATATAATATGCACTAAAGAAATACATACGGATATTTCGATATGTTAAATACTTTTTTTTTTGTTTAACATTTCTTGACAAAATTTTTTGGCCAAAAATGACACTTTATTTCAAATGTTTGCAATTTTTATAAAAATCTATATTTCAAAATATCCGTATGTATTTCTTTAGTGCATATTATATAGTTTTTAAAAAATTTGGGTTTTTTGCTCCATGGGTTCAATCGAATGGCAGATCCCCGCAACGCCGACTTGACAGTGGCTACAAAACGACGTTTAATAAAATGGCTTCAGCGTCATTTTATTAAAAAAATTAATGAAAAAAATATTTTTTATTTCTAAAGACTTGTATTATTAAAGCCTTAAAACGGATTTTTTATTACTTTTATTATTTTCCTAAAAAAAATTCCCAAAGTTACCTATGATTTTTAGGCGGTCAAGGTGGTGTAACCCCTTAATAAAGAGTAACCCAAAAAGTCGCCCGTTTTTTGGGCCCTCGATTTTGAGACTGAACTGTGTTGCAAACGATACCTTATAATAAGACATTAATTATAGAGAAGTTTCAAGTTGAGATGACAATTGTTACCAGAACTGGAGAAGAAGGGGGGATGAAATCAAAGTTCATTATGGAATTATCTGAGGTCCGATATTTTAAGAAAATTGATCGCAGTTTTATGTAAATGTCACTAGTTTTTTATGGAAAAAAAATTGAGTTTTCGCGTAAAGAGACGTAATAAGTGATCTCCCCTCCCTCCTCACTCCAGCTGTCACCTCAACCTGAAACTTCTCTGTGATTAATATCTCATTATAAGGTACCATTTTACACACAATCCGGTTCCAAAATTCCGAGGGGAGCCAAAAAAACGGGCGAAAAAACCACCTTTTTGGGATCGCTCTTTGTGGATCTCACACTTACATTGACCCTCAGACGAAAGGATAGTCTCGTCAGGCGGGGAGTTCTTCATTAAAATTTGCGCGCATGGAAATTCGGTCTGCAGCCGTTGCGTGAACGCCCCTATTCGTTCGTACTCCAAGCCACGATAAATAAACAACTTGTTCTGCAATTAAAAAAGAAGCACACAATAAACAGTTAGTACGAGGTATCAATTTTACGATAAATAAAATAATTCTAAAATCAAACTTTGAACAAAATATTTGTAACGCAGCAGAACTGTGTGTGACATACATTCGAATTACTTATTGCTACACCAAAAAAATGTCTCGAACTCACTCTGACGAAAAGTGGGAAGCTGAGACCGTAAAATCCAACGCGGAAGTACTCGGGCTCCGGGCGCAGTTGCGTCAGGATGTTGTCCAGGAACTTGGCTTGCAGCTTCAGCACGTGGCTGAGTTTGGCGTAATCGTACAGCCGGGACTCGTACAAGATCGCGAGCTCCTTGCACAGGGGTATACCCTTCTCCCAGCACTTGCCACGGTCGAGATAATGAATGATCTTGTGATAGAGCAGCTCCTTGCGCTGCCACTCAGGTTGCTGGGGATGAGCGTGATCGGGCGGCAGAATTGTCGAGCCCCAGCCCAGCTGATCGGCGTAGAGCTTCATCGTGAAGCCCGCTTCCGTGTAATTCTCGGCGGCCAGGTGTAGATCGTGCAGCTTGTAGATGTAGCGCAGGTACATCTCCTTCCGGTTGAACTCATTCTTGTAGAAGTTCTGCAGGAAGAGCAAAAGTATCCCCATGTTACACACGCGAGAGAGATCTCGCGTCTACCAACTGATTGGCGATTTGACGGACAGCGAGACAATGCGGATGGAACGATAAAATTTCCATCGCAAAAGCGCGAACACGAGTGCTAAATGTCATGCAATAGATAGTGGCCATGTACATCACGAGCGCCAAATATATATCCGCTGGTTGCGAGTGCACATGTAGTGGTCGTCGTGAACGTCGCACAGTTTAGTTAATTAACGCGCTAAGTCATAAGTAATTTGTGTATACATGTAGCTACAGATTCGCACCATATATTCTTTGATTACAGTATATTATTCTTACTAATAAGTAATAAACAACCGCGCGAATCTTATTGGATTTATTGTATCGAGTATCTCTAGATCTTTCTCTTAAAGGGAGACGCTACTAAAAAGAAACAGTGATCTTTAAGAATTTTTTTTTAACTAAAATGAAATTGAGTAATTTCAAAAGTTTAACAATGTTTTGCTGTATATTTGAGCAATAAAAAACATTTTTTATTAATAAATAATATGGTTTTTTTCAGGGGTCGGTAAAATAACTGATACAACTTATTTAAAATAACAAGTACAAAATAGATTCCAGAAACTTATTTAAAATAAAAGATCGCAGGGGTCAATAAAAAACTGATACGACTTATTTAAAATGAAAAATATAAAATAGATTTCAAAAATATATTTAAAATATTAAATAAGAAATAGATCAGAAGAAATTATTTAGAATAATAAGTTCTAAATAATTTTTTTACTTTTTCTTATTTAAAATACATATTTTAAATAATGCTTTTTTAACTACGACCGATCCCTGATAAACAGAAGTCGGTAAAGTAACTGATATAACTTATTTAAAATAACAAGTATGAAATAGATTCCAAAAACACGACTTATTTAAAATAAAAAATATAAAATAAATTCCAAAAACATATTTAAAATATAAAATATAAAATAGATCAGAAGAAGCTATTTAAAATAATAAATACTAAATAACTCTTTTACTTTTTGTTATTTAAAATACATATTTTAAATAATGTTATTTTAAATACGATCGACCCCTGATTTAAAGACAAGAAACGAACAAATTACAGATTTAAAATAAATAAATAAATAAATATAAATAAACTCTTTTTTAATATGTCAAATAATTAAAGAACATTTCGTACTTATACATAGATTGAGTTTTCATTAGCTAATAAAATTAAATAATTTAAAACATTGAAATAAATAAAATAAAAGCAAAACATTTTAAATTATCTAATTTTAATATGCAAATTTTATGTTTATTTTGATTTAATTATAATAGGAGATCACCAGTTAAAAGGAAGTAAAAGAAAATTGGTTATTAAAAAATTCAAACATTTTTCTTTTGGATGGTTTCTGGAACGTGTAAAAATTTTGCATGAAAACGTTGAATCATCATATATGTATAATATATATTATAATGATAAATAATTAAAACTTTCTATAAGTACAACTGTACAATTTGCTTCTTTTTTATTGGTATGTGTATTTTGTATAAACGTTTTCTCATACATTAATATCTCATATATTAATATCTCATATATTAATAAATTATATATATCCTTATATACTGTATATATGTATATATATATATATATATATATACAATATATACTGTTATGTAAAATAAACGACGCTGATTGAATGATTGTTCTGCACAGATTATTTATATGTATACGACTTGTATACTCTGCACACACGTATATTTATTAATAGCTTAATATATATTATATATTTATGCGATTTTTTTCTCCCTTCTTATGATTGCATTAAGTTATTCGAAAAAATGATGACATATATATCAATTCTGTTAGCCTGTTACATGAAGTGATTATAGCTGATTGTAGCATAAATGCTACTGACCTTGAAACGAGAAGAGGAGGGATATGCGATATATCAAACATATCAGCAATTATGAGGCAGTTTATCTTGTGATTTGATAGAGATTACTGCAGTACGTAACAGAACTTACTGCGCGTTTGTTACAACCATGTCGAGTTGTTTTATTTTGTTGTTCAGCCTTGTTTGTTG